CGCCTCGCCCCTCAGGCCGGCCCCAGGGAGCAGGCCCGGCGGAGCGCGCTGCTGCCGCGGCACGAACGGCCCGGGAGGGCGGGCGGGCACCGGCGGGCCGCCCTGTCGGTACCTTTCAGAGCCAGCAAGTGCTCCTGCTTGGGCTGGTTAACGTCCATGGCGCCAGGCTTCACCCCTGCGGGAGGACAGATGAGCCAAAACGCTGCCGGGGACGGAGAAGGCTCGGTCAGGAGAGACGAGGCGAACCTGGGCGTAGAGCCCGGGCGCGGTAAATACCGCCGAACCCGGAAACGGCTCTCCCAGGATGCAGCTCGTCACCGTCACGGCACGGCACCAGCACGGCGGGCGAAACTACAGCCCCCAGAGCGCACTGCCGCCCGCTCCCCCGCTGGCGGACGGGGCGGACGAGTGTCCCGTGGTCGTTCGGGTTGGGGGGGGAGTCACCGCCTCCTCCTTTGCACGCTGGGATATGTAGTCCGCCAGGAGCCACAGGGCGCCGCCGTGCCGCGCGGCACCATGGGAACCGTAGTTCTCTGGTGCGCGTCACAGGAGGCGGGCGCAGACCGGCCCGGTGCGGCGGCGGGGGAGCGCATGCGCTTATCGGGGGAGCCGGAGGGCGGGGGGGGTGGCGGCGGCCACCACCTCCTCCTCCATCCTCCTCCTCCTCCTTCCTGCCGGTGGCTGCTCTGCTCCGCCCTCCCCAAGATGGCGGCCCTAGGTGTAAACAAGGTCGGGGCTGGCGCCGGGCTGGACGGCAGTCGGGGGTCCGGTGGCAGCGGCCGCGGCCCGGCTGGCGCCGCAGTGAAGGTGGGACGGGCTGCTTGGCCCTTCGCGCCGCCCGGCTCGGCCGCCTCCTGCGGCAGGGCGGGCTGTGGCGGCCGGGGGTTGCGCCGTCGCTGCCCCGTCTGAGGGATAGGGGTAGCGCGGGAGCGAGGGGGGCTCCGGGACGGGAGACGTCCCCTGAGGCGGCGGGGCGCTTCGGAAGCCTTTTCCCCGCCTCGTCCGCGCTGAGCCGGTCTGCTGCGCGGTGCCTCGGAGGGAGCGGGCTGCGAGGCGGGAGGCCTCTGTGTGAGGGGGAGGGCGACTGGTGACTGCCTCACAGCGGGGAGCCGTCTCGGAGAAATCGTAACGCCTGGGCTGCCTGAGGTGGTTAGCTGACGCTATTGTCTTACGGATTAGTCGGGAATTGGTTTTTTTCCCCTAAATGACGGTCAATTTCGCTTTTTATTGGCGGTTTAAGGTGTTCTGGTCCCCTGCTGTTTGTTCCTGCTACATCGGTGCTGCGTTTGTAGCTTCGTAAATGGCTACCTTGGTATGACTGACATTATTATGTGCGTCAGCTATGAATGGAAACTTTCTCCGCCGGCTGATAGTCTGCTTTGGCAGGGTCTTGCCCTCCGTTTCCTTTTCTTGCAAGGACGTTTCTGCGTACTTAGTTGTGCTGCTTGACCAGCGGGCTTTTCGTGTGGCAGTGCGTTAAATGAAGTGGGCAAGAACTAGTGGTGATCAGGTGGGATGCTGAAGAGTTAAAATGTTCTGTTCGTGTCTATTTATTTATTTTTTAAGTATCATTTGTATGATCATTATTTGTGTGCACAAAGCAAAATTAATGACTCAGCCTATCTGCTGTGATTGCAGGAACTTCTGTAAAATAAACTGCATCACGTGGGTCACTGTATGAAGTTTTCCTTTTTTTTATCAGCTCAAAACCAAATATAGTCTCTTTAAATTACAGGTTCTTGAGTGTGGTGTCTGTGAAGATGTATTTTCTTTGCAAGGTGACAAAGTTCCCCGGCTGCTTTTGTGTGGCCATACTGTCTGCCATGACTGTCTTACCCGGCTTCCCCTTCATGGCAGAGCAGTTCGTTGTCCTTTTGATCGACAAGTTACTGAACTAGGTAAGAAAATATAAGTCTGAAGTTCTTAAAACCTGTCAGCCAAGGATATCTAGAAGATAATGCTAGGTAATAGATTCTTAATGCTCCACTTAGTGATAATATTTCTGAGTTATGAATGTGCAGTGTTCCTTCTCATTCAGAGAAGCTCATAGCATTGTTAAGCACTAGTAAAATAGGTGTCTTAGAAAAAGAAGGTCAAGATTTTAACTTCTTGAACCTGGGCTTGCAAGCGTTATACCTTGAAGTCTCTTTGAACACCTATATTTACAAAGGGACTACTCTATTTTAAATTAGTGTCTAAGGGTTCCTGCATGGGTATTAGTTTCCTGTTGTCCTGAACACTAAATAAACCATGCAATTAAATAGGTAGTTTCTTTGACAAACAGATTTATCTGGATTCATGATGAAGTGATATAGAGGGAAGTGTCAGTGATAACAAACATGTTTTTTACAACGTAAAGTAATTCTGTATATGCAATAACTGACAGTGGCAGGCTATCAATAGGAATTCCCTTACTGTAAGAGTGTCTGCAGACAGTATTTGAAAGGATAAGATACAGCTTTTATCCAACAGTGGAAATTTATTTTAGGCAAAAGATGACACTTGCTTATAATTCCTTCAGAACAGGACTTGCCTATTTAACATAGGGTTACGGAGGAGATGAGTTATCAGAAGAATTTGTACTGAGAGGAACTTGTTAATAGAACTGGCTCCAACAGTTCTGAATAGCACGGGGGGCAGGAGGAAGCTGTTGGAAGGAGGGGAATCCTCAGAGAAGGAGACCTCTAATCTGGTAATCCCTGAAAGAAATGTTTAAATATCAAATTCGCTTGAATAAGAATTTACTTTGCAGGAGGAGAATCTGCTAGATTGTAGACCAAACTGAGAGGAATACTGAGGCATTCTGTGGGATGCTTTCACGGAAATCGGAGTCAGGAAAAGAAATTCCAGTCTCATATGAAAGAGGGGTTTGTTTTCGGGGGGGAGGGAAGTAGTAATTATGAGTGTCATGAATGATTGCCAATCTAGAAGATGTGGTTAAAAGAGTCACAATTTGTTTTACTACTTATCTATGACTGTACAGCTGCACAACATTTCTTAAGGTATGGTTTTAAGGGAGAGAATATTAGAGCACAAGACACACTCCTGCTGTTGTGAAGTATTTCTGTCCAAGACCGCTGCTTGTATCTTGTAGAGTAAAAGTAGCATTTTTGTTACGATAGGAGTGCTGGTTTTGACTGGGATAGAGTTAATTTTCTTTACAGTAGCTAGTATGGGGCTATGTTTTGGATTTGTGCTGGAAACAGGGTTGATAACACAGGGATGTTTTAGTTACTGCTGAGCAGTGCTTACCCAGAGTGAAGGCCTTTTCTGCTTATCACCCCACCCCACTAGCAAGGAGGCTGGGGGTGCACAAGAAGTTGGGAGGGGACACAGCTGGGACAGCTGACCCCAACTGACCAAAGGGATGTTCCAGACCATATGAAGTCATGCTCAGTATATAAACTGGGGGGATTGCTGCTTGGGAACTAACTGGGCATCATTTGGTGACTGGTGAGCAACTGCACTGTGCATCACTTGTTTTGTATATTCTAATCCTATTATTATTATTGTCACTTTATTATTGTTATTATTATCACTATTAGTTTCTTCCTTTCTGTTCTATTAAACTGTTCTTTTCTCAACCCACGAGTTTTTACTTTTTTTTCCCCCCAATTCTCTCTCCCATCCCTCTGCGGGAGCGGGGGGGGGGGGGGGGGGGGGGGCGGG